GAGGGGCGGCTACCGGGTTTTCTGGCTAGGCGGATTACACCCTCACCGGATTTACCGGACAGTTTTTCGGAATGCTATACAAATCAGCATGTACCCCGAAGCCCTTTCCCTGAGGGTCCAACCAAAAACAATTCAGGGACCTGAACAAAATGGACCGCTTGGACCCTTAGGGTTCATTTTAACTGGCCCTGCTACCATCAACCAGACGGCAGCCCTTTTTGGGACGTGACCCGATCGAGGGCTACCATGGACGGGATGTCGGTCTTGTCGGGTTTTACTCTCGTCTTAGCTCCTACACCCTAAACGTGCCCTGCAAAGGCTCCTGCGTCCATTTTTGCCTAGGCTGAAGCTGAAGTCACCGAAGGATGACACAAAAGCACCCATCACGGTCCCAGCCGCCCTGGCCCGTTTCACACTGCTCCAAGGGTCCGCAGAATTCTGAGGCATCCATGAACTGGGGTTTATACTTATGCTTCAATGCTTGAGGATCGTGTATATTCGCGTGTTATTTTGCGGAGACTAGGCATACCCCATCTCACATCGGGGTACCGTGTAGTAGCAGTCTTGCTCTCGTAGGTGCTTTGGTTCCCCAGTAGTACCCTTTTGCCGGGTTTTTTTGGGGCCCTTATTAAAGCCAAATTGTGTAGGAAACAGGGTACCCTGATTAGCCTAGTTAGAGCCTTCAAAAAGAAGGAAAACCCCGAACTTCGAATTCGGAACTACAAGCCGAGAAGCCCTAAACCTCTAATGAAGCCTGGATCTTGCGATACCCCTTCGAGACTCTTCACGACCAAAGGACCCCAACTCAAAGCCAAAACGCAGCCGCTGGCTCCCTAAACCCTAAACCCCAAACCCTATAACCCCAAAACAACCTACTCCTTGCCAGGTGCCGCCCTCCTTGCGCCAGCCCTGAGCTCAGCAAGTGCTCTGATGATGCGAGACCAGAGACCCTATAAACCCTTGGGTTTAGGCGTGGGGATTAAGGACTACTGTATGGGGTTTAGGGTTTAGGGGCTTTTATGGAGTTTCGGTAAGGGCCACGAAAACCCCACGCAAGTTCACGTTTTGTACAGACCCCGCGTTCAAGCCCAACCCTAAATCCTAAATCCCAGCCAACCCTAAACCCGAAACCCTAAAAGCCTTAAAAGCCCTAAACCCCAAACCTTAAACCCTAAGAGCCCTAAAAGCCCTCAAAGCCCTAAACCCTCTGAGCCCTGAACCCTTAAACCCTGGACGGAGCAGGCAGAAGCTGAAGTCGCCGAAGGATGACACGAAGCCGCCGATCCGGGTTCCGGCGGCCTGGCTGTGGAGTTCCTGCTAGTTTGTTTTGCTTTTGAAATTTGATTTTTAAAGGTGTTTATACATGCCTTATATGTTTCTTTTTGTGCAGGTCTTATTTTAGTGGCTTTTGGCCTCAGATGTTTATTTTTTGGTCTGTGGGTTTTTGAATATTGGTGTTCTTGTTTGATTTTGCTTCATGGAGGTGTCGATAAAAGTTGCGTGGTTTTTGGGTGCAGGTGTTCACAAGTGTTTTGTGAGTTTTGTTGCGGGTTTTTTCGGTACTTTTGGCCTTAGACGAAGACTTGAGGCTAGGATATGAGGGATGTTGAGGGTTTGACTGCATTTACACGGGGGGGCCCAGGTGCCTCCCTCCTTGCACCAGCCGCGCCCCCAGCAGCCTGTGATGGCTTGACTGAGGCCACGAGGAAAAAGCGTGTCAGGGTTGAGGGTTTAGGCCCGGGTTGGAAGGAATCCTTGTAGCATCCTCTAGAACAGATCGATAAATAGATAGGGCAATCAGCAAAGGTTCAACGGACTGGGATATAGACCCCAAGCCCTAAACCCTGAAACCCCACAACCCTAAACCGCTAAACCCTGAACCCCAACCCTAAAAACCCCCTAAAGCTTTAGCCCTACAGGGTTTGGGGGTGTGCGGTTCGGGTCTCAACCCTCGGTGAGACGGGCCTCTCAGGTTGCGGCTTGGCGTTTGCACGGGTGAATAGCAGGAGGAGGAGCAGTAGTGGTGGGGTTTAGGGTTTAGGGATTAGGGTTTAGGGTTTAGGGATTAGGGTTTAGGGGTTTAGAGTTTAGGGATTAGGGTTTAAAGTTTAGGGTTCAGGGCTTAGGGTTTAGGGTTTAGGGTTAGGGTTGCAGTAGTAGGAGAAGAAGCAGCAGGAGTAGGAGCAGCTCCGAACATGTTTCAACATGCCCCAATGTCTCCAAAAACCAAAACCTTATTGTCCGCCATGGCTTTGTCGTGTTCTCTTTTTCGTACTCCATGGGTGAATGCAATTATGGCTATCATGATGATCCAGATGACCGTAACAAGATCCGTGTTATCATAGCCGTGACCGGAGTGCTGGTAGCTATCGTATATACAGCAAACATTACGGCAAACAATTAAGAAGATGATGATGATGACGACAGAATGCTGAAACTGTGTTTAGCGGGCCAGAACGACTGTGAACAACGCAATGGCAATGGCAGCGCGAGCGACATCAGCAGCACTTGAAGGGGCAGTAGTGTCGAGAGTAGCTCTGATGTGTCATGCGCCAGAACAGTCACAACGATGAGCAAAAGCACTCGCATCCAAGCAGGACCGCTGCTGTCCACAACCTTAAACCCCGAACCCCAAACCCTTGACCTTGAGCCCTCATCCCTCACAGTAACCCTGAAGCCGTAGCCCTAAACCTAACTTTAACCCCGAATCTCTAAGCCCTAAAAAACCCTAAACCCTAAACCCCTAAAACACCCTAAGCCCTAAAAAGCCCTAAACCCTAAAAATCCCTACAAACCCCAAAAACCCTGAACCCCAAACCTTAATCAAGGCTCTGGAGCCCTGAGCCCCCAAAAAAAGCTGGCATGGCCCTCGAAGCGCCTCCCTGCGGACGGGCCGTCCAGGGCTTCGGAGGCTGAGGGAAGAAGTGCTTCAGATTAGGGTCCTTAGGGTTTAGGTTTTCGGGGTTGCTCCGGGTGTATGGTGTAGGAACACACAAAGGATCCTTTGCAGTCAGTCTTAAGCAGCTTTCTGTAGAGGATCTTCAACGTGGCTGCTTTCACAGATCGGCGGATGTTCAGCAGGCTCCACAACATCTTTCTTCTCCTCTGACAGCTTCCGCCGCCAAATCCTTACACCCCGAAACCCCCAAACCCGGGAACCCTGCACGCTCAGTCCCTAAATCCTCTTGTCGTCCGTGGCTTGAGGCTCTTTTGTTTTTTGTGTTCCTGGTCCGCAGGTGATGATTTGCTCCGCGCTCTTGCTACCCAGCTCCCCGGCTCTCTACTGGCCGCAGCCGCATTTCAAACTTAGGGTTCAGAGTTTCGGGTTCAGGGTTTGGGGTGGCGGGATTGGGGAAGGGGCAAGCCGTGTTCGTTATTATGAGTCATTATGAGCATTAAGTATAGTACAGGGGCTAGTCAGTGCCAGCAGTAGTCTTGAAGTCATCGCGTTCCTAGCATTGCCATTTTCCGATGAATGCCGGCTGCGATGACTGTTGAGCTTGTTGGGAGCCCTGGATGCAACAGCAATGAGGATGATTACACTGATCTGCACCCTAAACCCCAACCTCGAACCCTAAACTTCCTAAACCTAAAACCCCTAAACCCTCAGCCCTAAACACCAGCCTCGAACCCCAACCCCATAAACCCTAAGATCCCTAAACCCTAAACAATCCCGACTGCCGGAACCCTCGCAAGCCCAGGCTTTGCACAAAGTTTCCCCAAATTTCGGGTACCGTGTTTTAACAAGCCCTGAACCCTCAACACGACCTGCTGGGTTTAGGGTTTAGGGGTTTAGGGGCTTTGGGGTTTCGGGGTTTAGTGTCTAGGGTTTAAGGGTTTACGGTTCAGGGGTTTAGGGCTTTAGGGCGCTAGCTTCGTGGACCCGGCACGAAATGCTCCCACAACAGAGGGTTTGGTGCGTGGGGTCCGGCAGCATGAACCTTGAGCCGGAATTCCTGCCATGCTCCTAGAATCCCAATAAAAAGCCCGAAACCCCGGTAAGAAGATTGAGAGTTTCATAAGACACCTATCACAAGAACGCTGTTGCTCACCATAGAAGCCTATCAACCTTTTTGAACCCCAAAGATGAACTAAACCCGAATCCTTAAACTGCTTAAGCCCAAAGAATAATCCTCTGATCGCTGATTCGGACACCCAGAGAGTCCCCAAAAGGACGTCAGCGCCCTCCTTTCTCAGTGTCCCTTTAGGGTTTAGGGTTTAGGGTTTAGGGTTGTTATCGGGCTTTGTGTTTGTGGTGTTGCTTTCGTTCTAGAAGGCTCTATGGCTAGGGTCTGGTGATAGGTCTTGTCTTAATTACAGTGTATTCAGGCCCCAACATTAGAACCAGTATAGCATCCCGTCTGTAGCTATTTTAAGGACCCTCTAAAGGAAGCGTATACTAAATTTTGAGTTTCCTGTCTCAAGAGCCCTGAACGGGAACCATATTCTAACGATTCAGGCCCCTACGCATAGGCCCCTAAGTAGTTCCTTTTTGGGATTACCTTATAAAATTCTCAATGTGAGCCATGAAAAGGAACTACTTACGGGCCTGTGGGTATATGCCATGCAGCGAACGCTTCGAGGTCTCCTCTGTGCTGCCGCCGGGGCTGTGGAAAGCTCGCCACCGGGGCCGAGGCACGATGTAGGTTCAGAGCGTATTTATCGGGTTAGCAAGTGGCTTAGGACCTTAGGAGGTTGTTCGGATTTGGATTTGTTCAGGGTTTAGGAAGGGGTTTAAAAGTTTAGGAGTTTCGGGCATATGGTTTGGAGCATTTCGAGGCGAGCAGTTTCCTCAACGGAGATGTGGGGATTCCAGGACTACCTGTTAAATGGATAGCTCGTCTATATTGCGGTCGAAATTCGAATTGGTGACCCGGCAGTGCAGTAACTGTGCAGGTGGTGCTTCGAACACGCATTGGTTGGAGCCTCAAGCCTCACGCTTTGCCTCACGCTTTGCCTCACGCTTTGCCTGTGTTAGCCTTCCCTTCTCCCTTCTCGCCATGGCCATGGTCCTCGACGCCCAGCTGCAGCAGGCAGCCCTCTTCAAGAAGGTGGCGGAGTCTATGAAGGACCTGTGCAAGGAGGTGAACTTCGATTGTTCGGAGAAAGGCATGCAAGTGCAGAGCATGGACAGCTCCCATGTGGCGCTGGTGTCGCTGAATTTTCGTGAGGCGGCTTTCGCGGAGTTCAAGTGTGACAGGCCCGTGTCGCTGGGAATGAACGTGGACTCCTTGACCAAGATCTTGAAGATGACGGGGCCCAGCGACACGCTGAAGATCCGCCACAAGGGCGACACGGACGTGGTGAACTTCCAGTGCGAGGGCTCGGACGACCGAATCTCGGAGTTTGACTTGAAGCTGTTCCAGATCGAGAACGAGCACATGGAAATTCCCGAGCAGCACTACAAGGTGGTTGCCAAGCTCCCGTCGAGTGAGTTCCAGAAGATCTGCCGGGATTTGAAGGAGTTTGGCGAGACTCTGCATTTGACCGGCGACAAGGACGGCTTGAAGTTCGTGGTGTCCGGGGACATCGGCAGTGGCAACGTGCTGCTGAAGCCACGGGAGACAGAGAAGCCGGAGGAGAAGGTATCCCTCACAGTGCACGAGCCCGTGACGGCTGCTTTCGCCTTGCGCTACCTGGTGAACTTCTCGAAGGCTTCGCCCCTCTGCGGTTCCGTCACCCTGGGCTTTGCACCGGATGCCCCGCTGCTGGTGCAGTACGACCTCGAGACGGAGGACAAGGGCCACATGAAGTTCTACCTCGCACCGAAGATCGATGAGTGAAGGATTGTCACCCCTCCGTAGGCTTCGAGGTGTTTCACGTCCGTAGGACTCGTAGGCTTATTATATCGTCGGGGTCTCGCAGCTGAGTAACAAGCCCTGGGCTTCACAGTCAGCGGTGGGCAGAAGAACCTGCCACGGTTTGTGTAGGGAGCGGCTTGACCCATCTCAGAGGCATCAGCAAACAAGGGCCGCCAGCATCAGTGAGGGAGGCAGCGCTGACAGGAACGAATTGCGTAGACACTCAGGCCCTGAATCGCAAACCTCGTAGGATCTCGAAGAAATGCATACCAACCCCTGTAGGAACTCGCTTGAACCCAGAGACGTCCTTCACTCCAAGGAGCTTGAGATTGCTTCAGGTGTCAGAGCACCCTCAACGCTGCAGCCTAAGAATGCCATCTCCCCCCGAACTCCAAGACTTCAAAACCTTGAGCTCCTCACCCTCACAGCCTTTGTATACAACAAGCACCTTTCGCACTAATGAGAGCCCCACCAGTAGAAAGAAGTTCTCTACAACCCATGTAAACCCCCGTTGAGAAGCCTCTCATCTCGGTGCAGGGTCTGCTCGCCAGTCGAAACTGTTCTCATCGGCGAGGTGGGTTTAGGGTTTAGGGGCTTAGGGGTTTAGGGTTTAGGGTGCGTCCTGGTCGCTACGAAGGGGTCTCCTGCAAGAGCTTGCTAAAAGGGTTCCGTAAGGGCTCCAAAGGGTGTGGGAGTTGGGTCTTTATAAACCCGAAACCCTCAACCCTTAGCCCGAAACCCTTAACCCTAAGCCCTAAACCCTAAACCCTAAAAGGGTCCTGGGATTTCGTGGATTTGACGCTTTGGGGGTAGGTTTTTTTCTTGGCTGATGACTCGGAGAATCGTTTATGACTCGGGCACTTATGTGGGAAGTTCTCTAAATCAGGCTCCCTTTTACGGGCCCTTTTTTACAAGGGTGCTGTACTATTGGGGACTTGAAAAGGGACCCTAATTTAGACGATTACCCATAATATCAAGTATCAACCTCGAGGCTTTGACCCTAAGTTGCAAAGCCCAAAAAAGCTCAAGACCCCCAAAACCTAAAGCCTTATCAACGCCCCGTACAAGCAAAAGCAACCCATCAAGCTCTGAAGGACTGCAAAGCCCCTTGCAAAACCCTATTATTGAAGCCCTATATAAACCCTATTATTATACCCTTATAAACCATACTATAGCCTTATAAATCATATTGTAGCCATCTACCCCATATTATCATACTGTAGCTCTATAAACCATATTATAGCCTTATCAATGCATAACCCATATATATTTCTAGCCCCCAAAAAGCCATATTATCGTAGCCCTATGAAGCCTCAACTCTTCTTCTTTTATTTGGCACTCCGCGAGGCCGGGTCCGAAGACGAGGCGATCGTCTTGCTCGAAACGGGCGCCGCTGAGGCCGCGTCCGTGTCGCTAGCCCCAAGGGTCCCTAGGAAATTACTGCTCATTTGGGTATAAACCGACCATACTATAATACTGTAACCCCAAGGGGTCCTAGGTAATTACTGTTATTTGGGATACTTTCCTAAATCATAATATGTATCCCTTATCTAGAGGCCCTACATTCTACTATAGAGGTACTCAGGACCCTTTCGGTAGCAAAAGGGTTTAGGCTTTATAGGGTTTATGGGGTTTGATGTAACGCAGACAAGGGCTTAGTATAAGTGGTCGGGTAGCTTCGATCCCCTGATTGTGCATTTAGGGCTTAGGGCTCAGAGTTCGTATTCGGCATAGTTCCAACGGTATCTTTTAGGGATTCTTGGCACTGTATTCGGGTCAGAACTAGCAGCCATGTTGTCCCGCATATGGTTCTGCTATGATACACACCAAGATCCTGTTCCAATGACTAAGGCCCCCCGCCATACTCCAGCGGTTAGGACATCAAGGCATCGATAGGCGTCTTGCCGAGTCGCAGCAGCGAGGTTCAGCTGCCATCCGTTGTGGACGCCGGCTTGGAGCAGCTTTACGGGACCCCATGCGATCAACTAGATGGCTGGGGGGGAAGGGGCTTAGGTTGTTAGGTTTACAGGTTACAAGCTAGGGTTCAGGGCTTGAAGTGTTCAGGGTATTAACCGGGTATTAGGGTGTAGAGATGAAGGTTTTGAGGTGATTTCCCGGTGATAAGGCCCGCTTGTCGTGGGGATTCATCAGGCAGTTGGGCTTCTACGGTTTATAGTAGAGGCTTATAAGGCCCCAAAATCTTTGATTTACCGTGGGGTTGAGGGTTTAAGGTTCAGGGTTCAGCATTTAGGGTTTAGGGTCATAATGCTTGCCACAAAAGAACGTGGCAACCAAGCCCGTTCATCTAGAAAAAAGCTTGTAGGGCGGACACAAACCCAACGGGTCCTAAGTACTTGTATAGTAGAATGCTTCTCTATTACAGAAATATTACAATTTGGGAAAGTATCCCCCATAACAGTACCTAGGACCGAATTTGGGAAAGCCAGTTTGGCTCGAGGTGCCCTACTTTTCTGCTCAGGTGTCGGCTCCAGAACCAGATCCAATGCCCACAAAGATCCACCCACCCTTAAGCCACCATAACCTAGATTTTTGTAGGTTCTCTATCAACCCGAATATGAGTTTATAGGGGCCCTACAAAAAAAGTGTGTGAGCTTTGGTAGATGAAATTACATCCATCCAAAAGCCTCGTTTGGGAGCTTCCGAAACATCAAAAAAGGAAGCCCAAGGCAGACCCAAAGAGGAACGTCCCTTCTCCGAAGCCTACGCCCTGTAGGCCCCAAATCCCTAAACCCTAAACACTAAAGCCTAAAAAACCTCAAAACCCTGACGCCCCTAACCCTAAAACCCTAAACCCTAACAAGCCCAACAAACCCAATTAAAACCGCTAAAGCCCGTGTACAGCAAAAAAGGACGTCGCTCCCGGCGAGCTGGGAGCACTTCCCCGACCTCTCAGCGGCGCCACTGGCAGAGGGACCGGCCCTCTTGGAGCTGCGTTTCAGGCCCTGGGGGGGGGGGGTTATTTTCACCTAGGGTTTAGGCGGCTGTAGGGCGTCCGGTGTAGGAGTCTAGGGGGTTTTAGGGAGTACGCTTTAAAGTCTAGCTCTTTGGGTTTTTGGGTTTAGGAGGCAGGGTCGAAAGGGCTTAGGATTGCTGATTATTGATTGTTGATGTAGGTGTTAAAGATTTTTTCACAGGGTCTGTAAAGGGCACTTACCTTACAGTTGCATACGGCTCTGTACAGGTTTTATCGGGACTAAGAGGGTTTTCGGGCGGATTTATGAAGGGAGCTCCCCAGGCGTAAGGTTGAGAGAGTGATGTCACATTCGGCAGCACAGAGGCCTCAGCCTGTCGTAGTTCAAGGGCTTCAAGGCTTCAGTGGGTTAGGGTTTAGGGTTACGGGGGGTTCGCGATGTGGGGGCTCAGGGAATTTGCGATTTGCTGCTCTCTGTGCTAAGCAATCCCAATTGTCTCAAGCAGGTCATCTGCCCTAAGCCTTTGTGACTTGAAGAGACTAAGCTCTAAACCTCTAAGTGCCTCTAAGATCCATGCCCTGAACCCCGACGGAAGTCCTTGTCGAAGCCCTTAGAACGTATTAACCATACAGGGTTTGAGCAAGCTCAAGCAATGATCTAAATTGGAATCGTTCAGGGCGCCCAAAAAAGATCGTTGTAAAGACCGCCTTTATACAACGCTTTACAGCAACATTTGCAAAATCCGAAAGCTACCTCATGCTGAAACCCTCTCCTGAGGCACTGCTCCGAAGCCCCCATTTTAAATCCCTGTTGCGGGAAACCCTATTGCCTTCCTTCACAGAATGCTGGAAGGAACCCTTAACTAGAACGCCACTAACTAGCTTCACCGCCGCCCTAAACCCGACACCCTAAACCGTTACTTGGAGGTTCAATGGTAGTAGTAAATAGAGTTATAAGTAGGGTAACTATACTTATGAGCCATATTTCGGGGCTTATAACCCCACTAACTACCCATGAACCTCCAAGTACAGGCCATTTACTAGCTTGACCGCCACGGTGTCGCTCCGTGGCCCAGAGACGATCCGCCCCTCGGCAAGTCACCTGATTCGATTCCCGACGTCCCAGAAGCAACAACCCTTAATGTGGAGATCTTCAAGTGGAATGTGGTGCAATCATATAGCAATAAATAGCGTAATTTTTTTGCGGTGTCAGCATAAGTAACGCGAAGAATACTGACCGTCATAAAGGAAGAAAATGCAATATTAGAGGTGGTCGTAGTAGTATATTATGCCATCATAGTCGCAACAATAGAATCGTGATCGAACTGAAAAGTATCAATAACAGAAGTGACAACAATAGGGACAATTTTAACTACAACAATAAGAACGAAAACAATAGTAATGATGATGGTGATTATGCTAATGAAGATAGTGAGATTGATTGTAATAAGGCCATACCAACCTTATGAACGGCCGAAGCCGAGGCACTACTAATGTTGTTGGTTAGAGGGCGGCTCCCACGCACTGGGCAACCAGGCTTCTACTCGTCAGCTTACATGTCACAATACAGGGATTTTTGTGAAACGTTTTCGATGATTGTGACCTGAGGCCCAGCTTGAAGGCCTGTGCCTCATGTTCAAGCTAGAAGCCCGAAGCCCTGACCTCCCAACAGTGGCAACCTCGCATGATCCTGTTAGCACTGTCGGTAACCGCCGCGCCGGATCGACATCATACCTTCCACACACAAAGCATCCTACCTTTCCTATTTGCGACGCCACGCTGTCCCCTATTCAGGCCCTATTCCAGAGCTGCGCAGAGCCACAAGTAAATGACAGCACAACAAATGTCAGCGAATGTAAGCAGCTATACATACTAGCAGCGAAGATGCCATGAGTGAAGTGTAGGTAAACCAATTAAATGTGAGTAGATAGAGAAATCCCCACATAGATAACAGCATGAGTATTGTAAACAGGTACAAACACGTCTATATCTTTCGTTTATCGATCTATCAATCTATCTATCTATCGATCTGTCTATCTATCTACCTATC